CAGGGATAAAACCGTAAGACTCTCAGGTATTTGGTGCTTCTAACTCTGTAAAACACGGAGTACAACAATGATGTTTTAGGAAACTTACAAACCACATGCTCTAACAACAACAACCCCCTCAGAACCTCCAGTGATGATGTCCCCAAGAGGAAGGGACACAGGAGAGGCTAGGCAAAGAAGGGATTATTCACAATGAAGAAACTAGAAGACGGCCTCTGGGATAGCCAGTTGGTTCCCAAAATGTCCTGGTATAAAGTATCCAGGAGCCTGCTTAATCCTTTCAGAAGGCTGTAATTCCAATAAACAGGTTGCAGGTCTTGCAAACCATTATATAATGGTAGTATATAAATATTGTTAAATAAAGAGAAATAAAAACAAAAAACTCCAGATCCCGTAGCCCCCAGTGACTTTATTAAGTGTAAACCCGTGTCCAGTTTGTAGACCTTCCTAATTAGCGCACACAAGGGAATGGTGGAATGCGAAATGATTCTCCCTCCTTCTTGGTGTCTTCTGATCCAAGTTGTTTCTGTGTCCTTGTGTACACTGTCCTTCCTGTGGCTATTTTGTTTAGCTCTTTGAATTACCAAGGCTTCTTAGTACGTAAACTTCATTCAGTGCAGCGGTCTAATCTTCCTTCCACAATGGAGGTCTGGTCGTGTTGGTGGTCTGTAAACCCTGCTGCAATAAGAATGATTTATCCTCTTATCAGTCACGAATGGTGTTTCAGATTTGCTGTGCCTTGTAACTTGATTAATTTCCCCATGTTTATTCCTGGTCCAGAGATACATTTCCAGATGCTTCCCTGCATTCCTACCTGGCTTTGCTCCAGTGCACAGGAATTTGTCTAAGTGAACTGTATTTTGTTTGTGGCCATCCAGGTGGGATGCAGATACAAACACCAGACACCTTTGTACACATCTTTCTGCTCCACAGATGATTGATTCATCGCTTTCTCCCTTATCTGCCTTTGTTTCTCATCCCGGAGGGGTCGTCTTGCACGGACCAACACCTCTGGTGTCATTATTTCCTACACATCAACTTCATTGACTTCCTATTATCTCTACCTGATCTGAACCTTTGTTCGATTCAAGAGGTAATTAAATTCAAAGCCAAAACAAATGTCAGGGTGATAGTGAGAGAGATAAGCTGTCTAAAAAAAGAGTCAGAGACGGGGGAAACATCTTTACACACATGTGAAATCCTTACTGGCCAAGCGCCAGTGGAAAGTTACCTTCAGAGTTTGGATATAATCAAAGAACTGACCAAGTATCAATAGCGCCATGTGTCTGCTGCCTATAAAGATCTCAACTCACTGAGTACACATGCACAGGAGCGAGGCAACAGACTCACATGATTAACCATGTGCTTAAAATATGTGTTTAAAAGCTCTACTGGAAAAGACATAAATGAAACACCTGGTTTGATCATCTGTCACATCCACATTGGAAGCACTTGCCTCCCCTCAAAGAATTCTGGGAACTTACTGCCATGAAACGATGCATAGGACTGCAGTCACACTGATCTTCATAAGTTGGTTATTGTGCTATGCATAGCTACTCTTTGGGTGGGTGGGGCTGTTGTTTAATTCAGAGCTTCCTGGATTTTGGGCTGTCCTTGGAAGCATAGTTATGGAGACTGTCATGATCAACTTCTGCACTTCAAAATTTACCACTACACCACTAGCTTCCAGGAAGATCTACTGGTATGATGCTACTCATAATAATCAGAGGTACAGACTGTGGAAACTTTCCATTGTGGGAGTGATTTGATCCCTTAACACTGTTCCACGCACCGCAGTATTAACAACTACTGTTTAAACCTACTCTAATGATCTGCGCCCAACAAGAGTTCACACTACCAGTGGTAATGCCATCAGTTTTATTATGATCGAGAAATTGTTACATGGGTGAAGAAGCCTCAGGGTGAAAGCAGGATTCCTGACTGGTATTTACTCACTGCTAAATGTGAGTAAATTGACTTTCTGCACCCGTTGACTTTCTTCTTTGCTTCTTTCTAAGGTGGAATTGCCCATGTATTTAAGTGGAATTGTACAGCAATTAGCACAAGGTGAATTAGTCCATTCCTACCTGGCTGGCACTGATGTGATTCACTCCCAGTGCAAGTTAGCACATGATGGGAAGGGAATTTAGGCATCTGCCAAGATGCCGACTGGGTGCAACCTTTACAGATGGAATGAATTTATGCTCTGAGGAGCATCGCACCTCTTCTGTAATTACCACCAGGCAGGAGCAGGAGGAAGGGTTGGGGGGGGGGAGAGGCAACAAATGTGGAAAGGACCGGCTCTGCAACAGTGGAATGGAATCAGAGGCCTGGGAAGCAGTACAGCCTGTAAGGGATGCACATGTCACTGGTGCCACACTCCACCCTGGTTAATGTTTTATTCATGCAGATACATCACCCCCCCCCCCAGTATTTTTATCACTTGCAGTCTACAGTAGTTGGCAGTTTACTGTAAATATCCGTTTCTCACACATGACTCTTTACCGGTTTGGGAAACATGGCTCCTTTCATTGTTGCTATGATGCCTTAACCTAAAAATTAAAAAAACAAATATGCAATTCATAATTAGTTTCGCCCTCTTTTAGACCACCACCATACCAAGGGCTTGAGGTAGGTACGGTAATTAGCACCAGTTCGAAAGCACGTCAAAGTGCAAGTAGATAAATAGGTACCACTCCAGCGGGAAGGTAAACGGCGTTTCCGTGTGCTGCTCTGGTTCGCCAGAAGCGGCTTAGTCATGCTGGCCACATGAGCCGGAAGCTGTACGCCGGCTCCCTCCGCCAATAAAGCGAGATGAGCGCCACAACCCCAGAGTCAGCCATGACTGGACCTAATGGTCAGGGGTCCCTTTACCTTTATGTTCGTGCTCTGCTCCATGGGGTCACGAAAAGTCGGACACAACTAAATAACAACAACAACAATGTGCCAAAATGGAAGAACCGTGTGCTATAATATTTTGCTTCACCCTGTGTTGCAGTAGGCAGGCAAAACAGAATTGATTGCAATCTTAACTGAAATATGTATCTACTTGTATTCCCTCCCTGCCCGGTGGCATGAAAAGAAAGCAGGATCTCCAAAGCTAAGGAGATCTGTAAATTTACAGTGGTGTTGATTGCATTTGGACACTTGGATCTAAAGATTTACTGGCCATCTCTGGTGCTGCTGATAGATGCATGTTGTAAATAATCTTCTTGCCTATCAGCTGCCTTTACCTAACAATAACATGTGTGCTACCTCCTCAAGTAGGCACATTCCACAGCACAAGGCCACCCTTGTGATTTACCGCCTGTTAAAGAACTCACACGGTGCTCAAGAAGATGCTGTGAGGCTTTCCAACCAGTTCCAGCATCTGTGTGCACATCTGCTTTTGTTTGCTTCTTTGTGCATCACATTTCAGAAATCATCTGCACTGGTTACAACATCTATTACAACAGGGGAGGTGAACCTGTGGCCTTAGAGATGTTGTTAGATTCGTATCAGCCCCAGCCAGCATGGCCAATAGACAGGGAGGGAGGAAGATGCAATCCAGAAATATCTGGAGGGCTGCAGGTTCCCCACTCCTGTCTTGCAAGATGGTCCAGCCAAAAACAAATAATGGAGAGGACAAAATCCATGGGTTGAACTCAACTAAACCCTATTCACAGCAGACCCATTAAAATCAATGAACATACGCATTCACTTCAATGGGTCTACTCTGTGTAGGACTAGTGTTGAATACTACCCTATAGTATGATTTATGGCTGAATAAGTTTTTATGACGATGTCTATTATTTCGTCTAGGTCACATCCAAACCATTCATTTAAAATACATGGCTTCCTCCAAAAAAATCATGTGAATAGTTCCCAAGATTCTTTGAGGGAAGGCATGTGCTTTAAATGTGTGATGAGGGTGTGGTTATAGCCAAAATGCTACCAGATTGCCAAAGGGGTGAAGTGTAGCTGTTTCAATTCGCATATTGATCCAGGAAGTTATGTATAATAATAGGTAGCTACAAACCTGAACAAATTTCTCCCTCATACCTACTTCAGATTCATCCAGGCCCTGCACAAAATGAGAATGCTTCTTCTCGGGATTCTAAAGTGATCTCTTGGTTAAATCATCATCTGCTCCTCAAAGCCAGCTCCTCTAAACTCCCTTCAAAACTCTGCCCAAGAAATAGCCTGGAGCCTTCTCTCCCTCACTTAACATCTTTGAAAGAATTAGACGTGTACTATACTATCCTAAGGGACGCGGGTGGCGCTGTGGGTAAAACCTCAGTGCCTAGGACTTGCCGATCGTATGGTCGGCGGTTCGAATCCCCGCGGTGGGGTGAGCTCCCGTCTTTCGGTCCCAGCTCCTGCCCACCTAGCAGTTCGAAAGCACCCCTAAGTGCAAGTAGATAAATAGGTACCGCTTTATAGCAGGAAGGTAAACGGCGTTTCCGTGTGCTGCGCTGGTGCTGGCTCGCCAGAGCAGCTTCGTCACGCTGGCCACGTGACCCGGAAGTGTCTTCGGACAGTGCTGGCTCCCGGCCTCTTAAGTGAGATGAGGGCGCAACCCTAGACACGACTGGCCCGTACGGGCAGGGGTACCTTTACCTTTATACTATCCTAACAGGCATAGCTGGGGGATAGAGGTGGCAACCATGTTAGTGAGAAATGAAGCTGAGCTGACATTTCTCATAAAACAATTATCTGAGAAATTCCCAGGGAATACTCTTATTTGGAAGGATGGGGCCTCCCAAAACTAGTAGAGACTTTTCCTTGAGAATACAGGGCTAAATGGATTCCATTTCACCATGTGCAAATAGGGTGGAGAATTTGGGGAGGCTGTTTTCAGTCAGCCCTAAGAGAAATCCTTTATTCTGATGGCGGCCTCAGCACTGATACAGGACAAATATATTAGAGAGGTTAGCTTCACATGGAAATGTGCTAGCTAATGATTTGCCAACTGAGACGTCATGTGATGAAGAAAGGCAATCACCTCATTCCACATTTGAGTTACAAGAGTCTGGCTGTACGGCTTGGTTGTATATACCTTGGCTGCATGGTTGACCTGCAGCTATAATATTATGCCTAATCACGTCATCAGCTACTGGGATGTTCCTGGGTGTGTTTAAAAAGGTGGCCTCATTTTCCATGGGAGGAGCCTCCAAGTTTCGTGTCAGAGGCAAACTGCAAGGTCAGCTGGGGGACACCAAGTAGGTAAGGTCAATCATTTGTTTTATTGGCTTGCATTGTATTTATTCACCTTTCTCTTTCTCACATAGTGGTTAGTCATAGTAATAAAAATAGTCCCAAAACTGTTAGCATAATTCAGAGGCAGGTGCTGGTTGGTCCAGCAATAAAAGTTAACTGCTGACAATAAAGGCATACTTGCCATAAAGCTACAAAAGAATAATAATAATTTACAGTGGTACCTTGGTTTATGAACTTAATCCATTCTGCGAGTCCATTCTTAAACTGAAACCATTCTTAAACTGAGGCACGCTTTCCCTAACGAGGCCTCCCACCGCCGATGCCCGTCCACCATTCAGATTCTGTTCTTAGACTGAGGTAAAGTTTGCAAACCAGGACACTACTTCCGGTTTTGCAGAGTTCATAAACCGAATAGTTCGTAAACAGGACTGTTCTTAAACCGGGATACCACTGTATTACTTATTTTATCTTATTACTTAACCCATCTGGCTGGGTTGCTGCAGCCACTCTGGACAGCTTCCAAAACACAGCAAAACATCAAACATTAAAAATTTCCCAATATAGGGCTGCGTTCAGATGTCTTTGGAAGGTTGTGTCATTGTATATCTGTTTGACATCTGGTGGAAGGGCGTTCCACAGGGTGGGCACCACTACTGAGAAGGCCCTTTGCATGGTTCCCTGTAACTTCATTTCTCATAGTGAGGGAACTGCCAGAAGGCCCTCAGAGCTGGACACAGAGTGTCCGGGCTGAACGATGGAGGTGGAGAGGTATGCTGGGCAGAGGCCATTTAGGGCTTTAAAGGTCAGCACCAACACGGTACTTGGAAACATACTGGGCAAGGTGTTCTCAGTAGCTGCCCCAGCATGAGTGCACATAACTCCTTCTCCTCGCCACCATTGTTGCTGTCTCTTTGCTTCTCATCTCTCCCTGGGGCCAGTCTACACTACCTTCCAGAAAGAGAGGGCAATCAGGCTGCTGATTTCTCCTTGCTCATTCACTCGGAGAGGACAACTGAATAGGCAACAATAGCAAGAACAGGAAGTTGCAGAGCTAGGAGGCTCTGGGAATTGGCAATGGGTCCCTGACTGGGTCAAGGGCCTTGGCAGCAGCTTGGCAATGCCATCTCCTGGTGCTGGAGTTCCCACAGGAACTCATTTCCAGAGGAGGCAGTGATGACCACCAACCTAGAAGGCTTTAAAAGAAGATTAGACAAATCCATGGAAGAGAAGATGGCTACAAACCTTGATGGCTATGCTCTGCCTCCACTGCTGGAAGCAGCAATTCTTCTGAAGAAAAGTTGCTGGAAACGACAGGAGGGCAGAGTGCTCTTCTGCTCAAATCCTTATTGTGGGTTTCCCACAGACCACTGTGAGAACAGGATGCTGGACTAGGTGGGCCATTGGCCTGATCCAGCAGGCTATTCTTGCATCTTTATGGCTCTGTGTTTGAGGTACTAATGGAAGCTCAAACAACAGTTTGAAAAGTTTGCAACCTTCCTAGTGCCTAAGGGACCGCACTTTCGGGAACTTTGTCTAGTACATGTTGGGGGTCTATATCCACTGCTTTTTCGGGGGTGAAAGCAGAGTACACATACCCCTAAACATTTTGCGAATCTTTGTACTTTTGTCCATTTACTGTATTTATTTTTCCTGATTTGAACTATAAAATGGCGATTTTCTTGAGTCAAAATGAGAGTAAGTACCCCTAAACTTTTTTTTAAAAAAGCACTGTGTGTTTCAATTGATTTGTTAAATCACTTTCCTGTATCCTTGAGGAAGTGGAAATAAATAGAAATAAATAAATACTTCTCAAATTATGGAGCAAACAGAGGTGAAATCAGGTGAGCTTTTCACATGCCACATTCAGATTGCCCTGTTAACAAGGCATCTTGAATTGGATCAAGGATTGCCTTAATGCCCTACGCTGCTCTGTGGACTCATGCACCCCACAAATGCTGCATATCCAAAAGCAACCACTGCATATTTTAAAAAGCAAAATGAAGATGGTTCTGGAAATGAGCTTAAGAGGGAAGGGAGTGAAGAGGTGAAAAGATCTTCCACTTTGATGGACAGGTGTAGCTTTTAATCACAATGAATGGCTTCCCCAGAGCAATCCAATCACAAGGATTTGGGGAAAGGATGTTGAAGTAAGTATTTAAGTGTTAAGAAACACTTTTTAATATTTACTTCAGCGTCCCTTCCCCGCAATAATGTTCAACCACTACCACCACCTCCTCCTCCCACTATTCAAGTCAATGGAAAGATATCTCTCTCTCTGGAGCTTATGGTAACAATATCCTTGTTCAGAATGACATGTACCCCATCCAAGTCTTTCCTGGGGATATGTTGACCAAACAATGCTTTCTTATTGCATCAATGAACACATTAACCAATAGCACTTGGGTACAAGAGATAAGGTAAAACACAAATAGATTGATATGAAACGGAACAATATTTTAATGGTTTTGGAAAGATATAGTAAGACGCCATTCTCCCCCTCCCTTTATATAAATATTGAATTAGTGCTGCACTGATGTTTAGTTTTGGGGTTTGTATTCTCAAAATTGGCTTTCCTGTTGCTGTCTGTCTTGCTGAATAGCAGTTATTGTGGAAATTTTTTTTGGGGGGGGGAATATGTGAAGGCTCTTGCAATTATTATCTTTGTTTTCAAAAGACTGGAAAGGACACAAAGCAAGTTTGCTTTAAAGGCAGAGGCCTGCATGTGCCATAGTAAGCAGTTTTTATCCAGAGTCTGTACAATAAGTATCCATTCCATGGTTTGTGCAGCTGCTTCAGATACACTCTCCTCTGCCATCAGCACCACCATGTAACAGAGCACACATCACCGCTTGAAGTCAGGGATCTGCCAGAAAAATCAAGGTGTTGCATTATTTGCACGCTTAGATTCACGTGTTCATGTTAGGCATTCCCTCCTTGTGAATTCCAGTGCAAATCAACCCAATTTGCTAATGCACTCATGTGAACACAATGAGCCAGCCTTCATACTACTCTAAGCTTTGCACCAGCATTCTCAGCTCCAAAAATTATTCCAAAATATATTTTAAACGCATATTTTAGGATAAAATTCATTTACACACACACTTTGAGATAAAATCATGTTATCAATTTTGTGCTGGGGTCAGTCTCCCCGCATTCCTAAATTTAGTAAATAGTAGAATTTAGCTAATATTTGGAGGGAAAATGCCAGATCAGTGAAAAATACAGGCTGAACCTGGTGCTGTGGTCTAAACCACTGAGCCTCTTGGGCTTGCTGATCAGAAGGTTGGCGGTTCGAATCCCTGAGATGGGGTGAGCTCCTGTTGTTCTGTGCCGGCTTCTGCCAACCTAGCAGTTCGAAAGCACATCAGTGCAAGTAGATAAATAGGTACCACTGCAGCAGGAAGGCAAACAGTGTTTCTGTGCGCTCTGGTTTCTGTCATGCTGTTCCATTGCACCAGAAGTGGTTTAGTCCTACTGGCCACATGACCTGGAAAGCTGTCTGTGGACAAATGCCAGTTCCCTCAACCTGAAAGTGAGATGAGTGCCGCAACCCAACAACAACAACAACAACAATAATAATAGCAATAATAATAATTTATTGTTTATACCCCGCCCATCTGGCTGAGTCTCCCCAGCCACCCTGGGTGGCTTCCAATCAAGTGTTAAAACAATACAGCATCAAATATTAAAAACTTCCCTAAACAGGGCTGCCTTTGACTGGACTTAACCATCCAGGGGTCCTTTACCTTTACCTTTTACCTTGCAGGCTGAACCAGTTATCCTGTTCAGGAGATTGTTGACAGTGGCACCATTAAGAACACAAAGAACGCCAAGTACTGGGCTATTAAGAACAATTGACCATGCTGAAGCTGTTCTTCCCTTGGCTGAAAAGTGGACAGAAATAACAGAAATGAGAGGGGCAGGTTGCCTGGGGTAAGACCACAGGAAAAAAGGTGCCCTTTTAAAACAGAGGTTTTGGAGCAGCGTCTTTTGGGAAGAAGGAGGGATCGGTCAGGACTCCATGTGGCGCTGGCTGCACACAGAGACTGGGGAGCCCAGCTGGCTGCTGCTTTGCACCCAAACTTGCTGAAGCTCTGAGACAAGCAACAAGAGGCACTCATGGGGTGTAACTTTCTGCACGCCATCAAAACTCAGGTTGTAAATATGTATGAAATAAACCATATTTCATAAAGACATGGCAGTCTCTGCTGTGCCTCCTTCCCAAGGAATGCAAATTCAGCTTAAGTGCCAAGATCCCTGGAATCTGGCTACTGCTTGGCAGACATTCGGGTGGCCTGTAACAAATATGTTTAGAAAAAATACGTTATCAAGCAGTATATAAATGTTATAAAATTAATACATATTTTGTGAGAAAGTACAGTCAAAGTGATTATCTATATCCATCTATCATCTATCTATCTACCTATCTATCTATCTATCTATCTATCCATCTATCTATCTATCTATCATCTATCTATCTATCATCTATCTATCAACTGGCATCTAAATACAATTTTTATGCAAACTAAAAATTATGCAGACATGAATTAAAGTGGAAATGGGACAGAATGGAGGGATGAACAAAGGGATGTGGAACTGACACAAACCTAAGTCCAAGTGTACAATTTCTCAAAAGGCTCACATAGATTCTGTACTTGTGATGCTGGACTTGCACAGATGAGCACTGGGCTGTTGCACTCTATCTCCAGTGGATGAATAACAAGCTAATTTAATATTATGATGGATTCAGTGTCCTTTCTTCTCTTGGCAAATTGCTGGAATGTTATCATCATCATGAGATAACTGTACAATGCCATTGTTTTGCTGCCCTTTCTTTGAGCTTTGGGAAGTTCTAGTCAGAAGGATCACCAAGAACAGACACAACAGTGCTGAGGACGCACATTGTAATTGTGGCCTTGGAGAGAGAGCATCTATGCACTTCTGACTACAATCACCAAGAGGCAATTGGGGAGAATGAGAAAGCTTGTTTCACACAATGTTGGTTCTGAATTGCTATGGAATCCTACAGTGGCCTGTGCTGAGCAGAGATACCATCAATTTTTACATGCCCAAAACCACATCACAATCACACAAACCATGGCTTCCTGGTTCACTGCTTGGTTGTGGTGCCTGATAGTTTGGTGCCCATCCTTGCATGAGTTCATAGGTGTCAACCCCCTGGGGCCCTGAGTGCCCAAGAACCCACAAAATTCCCCATGAGGGGGCTGGGCACCCACAAATTTCTGTGCCAGGGCCATGCACATTGCATGGCACCCACAGCCCTGGGCACCCACGGTCGCGGGGCCAAGCCAGCACTCCTGCATGAGTTGCACCTGGCAAATATAGATTTAAATGTAAAGCTGTTTATTTACAAGCCTACGGGTAGGTAGCATTTGGACTAACTTCAAGGCAGAATCACTGAACACTCCACTCCCCAGCAACCTCAGGGGCTTCCAGACCACTCTTTCATCACTCAAGAATGCAAGCTGGTCCACAAATTTCTCAAAATCCATGCTTTCACCCTCGTAGCTGATTTCCAGGAAATCTTGTTCCTCCTATGTTAGTTGACCAAGCACACAGTTTTTGGAGCATTTCTTAGCTTGGTGCAATGGTTCTTTTGTTAACTTGAATTTGCTGTTTTGTTCAGGGACTGACTAGCCAAACCAAGGCCCCATCTGCATGGTATATTTAAAGCAGAATTATACAACTTTAAATGGTCATAGCTTCCCATAAAGCATCATCGGAATAGTAGTCTATCAAGGGTGTTAAGAATTGTTAGGAGACCGCTATTCCCCTCAAAGAACTACAATTTCCAAGGTGGTTTAACAATCAATCCCTTTTTCCAGGGAACTCTGGGAACTTAGTGAAGTCTTAGTTAGTGGCTGATGGTTTAATCTGGGGAGAATATATGAGTCCCTCTAATAGTGAACTCAGAAGGTGAGTGATGACAGAAATGGAGCCAAAACAGGTCAACTGTGAAACAAGAGGAAAGTGTCAGCATGTTCAGGGAACCCAGGGGTTTGTTCCAAAAACTCGTTTACAAATCTAAGGAAGTACCCCCTCCCTCCAAAAAACCAGCCCTATGAGGACTCCATATAGTTTTACTATCCTGGAAGAAGGTATGGCTGCCTAATACCATGAATAGGAGCACTAGTCAAGCTTTAATAGACTAGCAGGCACATCTGAAATTTTGAGAAAGTACTATGAGCATCAGTCACAAAATGGCAGCTGTGGTGTAACACAAAATGGTGGCTGTGGGGGAATGGCATAACACAAAATGACTGTTGCATCTAAAAGAACAGAAAAAGAGATAAGGGCACAAAAATGTACAGACATGTCCCACCTAAGTATCAGCCATCAATGGGGAAAAGACCATCTACAACATCTAACACCACATTCTCTCACAGAGTTTTCCTCACTTCAGAATGGAAGGGAGGATAGATTTTCAGTCCTGGCACCCCATGAAAAGCATGCATGTTTAAAAGGGCACATCAGTGTAGGAGATGACAAGCCAATGAAAATAAGCACTGAGCAGGAAAAACAAACAATGCACAGTGGATTTTTGGGAGAGATTTATGTTTGTGGGCACCATAAGATGTATTGGTCAACATACCTGTGAGCACTGGGTTGGAGGCTCTGGTCTTGGGTCGGTGGGGGCATAGCGTGCAACATTTTGTTGCTGCGGATCACACTTTGTCTAGTAGAATTATAGGGTAGAAAGGCATCTAGCTATGCTGCCACACTAATATGATATTAATTAATGTTGGAAATCAATAGAATGCTTACATTATTATTTCCTGCAGTGGAAAATTCGGTTTTCTGGTCAAGGCAAAGTTCCTTAAAAGAAACACCCCTTTCCATATTGCAACAAAAACTTTGGGCAAACTTCATTTTCCCCACTATTTGCTTTCAAACTACCACAAAAATTACCAACCTACCACCTGCCCACAATTGCCAGTATAACTAGCCTACAACCCTATGCATGTTTACTTGGGCATTAGTCCCAATGACTTTGATGTAATATGCATAGGGCCAGGCTGCATATCATTGGTCAGAAGCAGGAGTGTGTGCTGTGGACAAGAACAGGAGAAAAAATAACAGCACCCTCTTCCAGTTCCCTACTAGGTTCCCTGGAGGCCATCTGCACTTACTACAGGTGGACAGGTACATGATGTAAAAACAGACCTGGTTTCATGCTAAGGAACAGTGCTGAGAGCATATAAAACTGCTGTGTAGATCTGCCTCCTGAAGGTTATTCAGAGGAAATGATGTGCCTTTCACCTTTTATTTGAGTTCCTGGTACATTCCAGTTCAGACATCTCTGCAGACCACATTTTTTTAAGCAGAGTTTTACTGCTTGGCTTATGCAACATCTATTTTTAGTTTTTCACACCCCAGCTTTCCTTGTACAGAAGCCTCCTTTATTTGTTTTCTACCAGACAAGTTTTACAATGAACATTTTAAAACATCCGGCTGTGTAAATTAGCCACCGTGTTGTTTTTTCCATGATAAACTCAGTCAAATGCAACGTGGTACAAGGTGTGAGGAGCACCATTTCCCTGTTTGTCTGGGGTTTGTGCCATCATGTCTCATATTCTTCTATTCTGGGGCAATGTATTGCCGTGCAAGAATTATCATCAGCTGAACTTTCTGATCTTGCCTACACTGCAGACAGCTCTGTCCGATTGCATTCTAACTGGCCTGTTAAGTCATTTGAAATTAATCTGCCTACCCTTGTAAGGACCAGGTATAGCCAGGAGCCAAAGAGTGGGAACTGGTGCCTTGTTACATTAAGATTGCAGTCTTTCCTAGAAAATGCGCATGCTTACCTAGCAGTAAGCCCACAAAACACTGTGGGACTCTCTTCTGATTGAACATGAGTAAGGCCATGATGTACATGTAATTGGGACTCTTGGAAATGACCAAAATTCTATTATTTCTGGATTTCTGCCACACTTTTCTAGACTGGCATTAGAGCAGCAGTTAAAACAACAATTGTGCACACTTCACCAGTAGCTGGTGGTATGGTAGGGCAGTGGTGGTCATGTAACCTCCCAGCAGGAGCGTTGCTGCTGCTTACTGGGAGGGAGAATAGGAAGGGCAAGGTGGTGTGGAGGTTGGCACTGGACAAAGGCACCAACACGAGTGCTATGTTGGTTTTACCAGCGAGTTTGCACAGCACTGAGCTCCCCAGTCTTTCCCCCATTCCCACTCTCCCTCCCAGTAAGTAATAGCAACTTCACTGCCAGGAGGTCAGGTAAGGGCAGTGACCCCCACTTCACCACCGAAACTGCAGTTGACCCTAGTATAGTCATCTTGTACACATTACTTGGCATTGTAAAATTCAAGGGTGTGTGTGTGTGTGTTTGCCTTCTGTTAGGATGTACAGTGTAACTATGACAGGCACAATAAAAGGCTATAATAAATATATTATACCAAGCAAAAACAAACACTGAAGAGAACAAAACTGATCAGAAAATGGTGGTACATTTCTATAAAGAGTAAGTAAATGACAATCAGTAGTAGAATTTATATAGCGAAAGTTACAGGTCAGTTCAGATGGTGCTCCTACTTCAGGACCTCAGAATCCAGTCTCTTCAGAAGCTAGCCAAAGAATCCAATGTGCAGGAAGTGTTGTTTCCTTGAGTGACAAACTTCATGAAAGGCCACCACGCTGCTGCGAAATTACCCCTTTTCACAGCACTTCTGCACAGTTTGTTTTGTTGTGTCAGTTTCTCAGAAGGGTGGGGAAGCACTCTGCAAGACTAAGGCTCTGAAACTGGGCTTGGAGCAGTCAGACTGTTCAGAGCTGACCATCTCAGAGGAAACTGACTTAGCATACAGAGGCCACAAAACCAGGAAGGGTGCAAAGAGTACAGTCCACTGAATTATATTTTATAAACCTGTGCAGAATCAGGAGCAATTAAGCTACATGGCCATTTTGCTCTGCGGTTGTGCTTTGGTTCACACATTGTTTCAAGAAGTATGAGTTAGGTAGGTTTGCCTTTAAATGTGAACTGAACCAAATTTCTCCTGCATCCCTTTTTGCCAGACCCTAGACCATGATCAAGTGGGTTCTCAACTTTTCACCTTCCCATTTAAGATAATCTGAAGCTGCAGGAGAAGGAGGCAGAGATTAAGGA